GACCTGGAGGGCCGGCAGCCCGGTGCGCCCCGAGCCGCCCGCGGCTCCTTCCGGTCGGGCCTGGCGGAGCCGGAACCGCGGGAGCCAGGAGGAGGCATTTCCGTGCGCCCCTGGGGCTGGGTCCACGCTGCGGAGTGCCTGGAGCCTGGCGGGGCCTGGGGAGGGTCGAGGTCTGCCGCCCCGCGGGACGGGCGCTGCTTGCTCCTTGGCTCTTGGGGGCTACGACGTCGCGAAAGATGGATGGTCACCAGGAAACGGCTGCCACTTCGAGGTCTCCCCAGTTCTCTTTCCCTCTCCCTCCTGCCCAAACGGGCTTAGAGCCCTGGGGTGGGGACGGCCTTAAAACTCGAGGTGAGAGCGGCTTCCTCGTGTCGACGCTCGCAGCCCGCGCGCCCGCGCCCGACTCTCTCTGGGAACTTTCTCCTCACCCCGTGAGCCCCCGACGGCGCCGGTCCCGGTGCCGCAGCCCCGCTGAGCTCCTCCCTGTGAGGGATCGGGAGTTAGCCACCCCGTCTTCCGGCCGGGCCCCGAACGGTATCGTTTGCATTTGATACAGAGTTGATCGGCGGTTTTTTGGTTGTATTTCGTATGAAAGCGTGGATATTAAAAGAGTCTTCGAGTGACTTCCACCTAGGGCTGTAACTCGGTTTTCGGGGTGGTAGACTTGAGCTGGGCGGGAAAGTCGGGTAAACTGAGAAGGTTATTCGGTGATTTTTTTTTTTTTTCCTCTGTCCATTCCCGTGACGGTTTTGCGTGAGGGGTTGTGTATATTACTAAATCCGAAAGACAGGAAGGAGTTCTCGGTCATACAGACTATCTGAGGAAGTGAAGTCAGTTTTATCTACATTTAATGGGTCTGATTTCAGATGTGTAATGAGTAAAACTTTTCTCTAGTCCCTGGGTTAATTGGGCTGGTATTCTAGGTAATACGGTAAAGTTTTAAATTTGGCTATTTTACCTTCAACCACCACGGGACTTTTTAAACCTGTATATGTATAGTTTTTTAGAGGCACAAATCTTAACACAGTTTTGTTTCGAGGTTAATAAAAATTTGCCTTTTTTCAATCAGGTAACCTGTTTCAAAGTATAAAAACTGTCACTGTTTCCTCAACTACTCAGGAACCATACATAGATGGGGATCATTGATTACCGTTTAATTAATGACATCCTTTTGATTAATGGTATTATTATTTTCCCATTTTTAAAAACATTTAAAAGCTACTATGTAAAACTCATAATTTTTCTTAACTATAT